GAGGGGGAGGAGGGGCAAACCGAAAACTTCCAGGTAAGTTCCTGGCCCAGAACACCCAGTAGGTCAGACCTCCTTTGACCCTCTGCAGATGTGAGTGCTGCTGTGCTTCCATAGAGGCTTTTCCTGCCCCTGTCTGGGTCTCCAAATGGGATCTGCCTGTTGTGTTCCCTTTTCATTCCCTCAGAACGCTTTAATCCAGGCCACTGGCCTCTCTGCAGCTTTCCCCCTTCACTTCTATACACTGCAGCTACAGACACGTTTCATGAACACACGTGATCTTGCCTCTCCTGTTCAGAAATCTCTCTCCTGACCGCCTATCAAGAGATACCAACTGGAGGCAAAACCCTGAGGTTGAGGGTTGGAATGCCTCACCTCTGGCTCTAGGCTAGTTTGCACATTCCTCAGGGGAATCTTTCATTGCATATTAAAGAAAGTAGCTGGTAGGTGGGTTTTCTGCTCTCCAGCTTCTCAAAGGTTGGGATGGTGGCCTGGAAGTTCTTTTAGGTCTGGCAGGTTTCACCATAAGCTAGTTAAGTCAACTGGAAATAATCCAGTTGCCTCTGCCAGTATCTGAATCAGGTTCCCATCCATCTCTTCTCATTCTCCAGGCCTCATCCGTTCGCTTCACCCCTGCTCTCATCCCTTGTTCCCCACCAGGGCCCCAAGTACCGTCAACTCTTGGCCACGTTACGGACCCTGGAGGCAGCATCTCTTTCCCAGCAAACCCCTAGCTTACCTGGCAGTGACTCCGAGGAGGAAGAAGTGGAAAGAAAGAAGAAACTCCACAAAAAGTCCTCGTTTGCCAGTGCCTGTGCTGTAATAGGGAAGAAAAGGAAGAAAAAATGTCAGAAACAGGAATCATTTTGCAGTGACTCTGAGGAAGAAGATGTGGAAAGGGAAAAGAGCCACAGATGCGCTGTTGGCAGTGACTCTGCTAAAGAGAGAAGAAAGAGAAAGTGCCAGAAACAGGCCCCTTCAAACCCAGCTGTGCACCTGGAAAATGTTGACCATACAGGTACTGCTGCATGTGTGTATGTGGGATGGAAAGGGAGTCAGCTAATTCTGTGTATGACAGGTCGCCTGCCATTGTTAGGATTGGGGTTAGGCAATAAGAAGTACTTTTCTTTAGGTCAGAGTTTCTGTCTCGAGAACAGGGGTGTGGCCAGGAAAGCTTGCCAGATGTCTGAATTTCTAGCATTTTGCCCCAAATATTCCTTCCCATCTCCCTCCTTGTAGGTCCCAAAGCGCAGAAGAGCAATGCTACAAATGATGCATCCAAACCAAACCCTGAATCTACTCCTAAACCACCCCATACCTTGAGCCGCAAGCAGTGGAGGAACCGGCAGAAAAACAAGCGGAAACAGAAGAACAAGTTTCGGCCGCCTCAGGGACCAGACCAGGTTCTAGCCAAAGCCCCCACAGGGGAGACAGAAGTACCTCCTGTTCCCAAGCCTGACAGCCATGAGGCGCGCGCTGGAGCTCTGCGAGCCCGAATGGCACAGCGACTAGATGGTGCCCGATTTCGCTACCTTAACGAACAGCTGTACTTGGGACCCAGCAGTGCTGCACAGCGTCTCTTCCAGGAAGACCCTGAGGCTTTTCTTCTCTACCACCGCGGCTTCCAGAGTCAAGTAAAGAAGTGGCCACTACAGCCAGTGGACCGCATTGCCAGGGATCTTCGCCAGCGGTGAATGGGAGTTGGGCACTGTGAGAAACAATGTGGGTCAGTCCTGGGCTCAGATCAGACCAGGGTGCTCAGACCAGACCCCTCCCTTTCCCTCCTAGGCCAGCGTCTCTCGTGGTGGCTGACTTTGGCTGTGGGGATTGCCGCCTGGCTTCAAGTATTCGGAACCCTGTGCACTGCTTCGACTTGGCCTCTCTGGACCCCAGGGTCACTGTGTGTGACATGGCTCAGGTAAGTCCTTCTAGTGTCAGGCTTGTACTCTTAACCCAGCTTCCACGTGCTCTTTAACCCTTCCTTCCCCCCAACCCCTGTTTTGGTGTCCAACCCTAGCACTCAGTGCTGGTTTTCTCCTCCTGACACTGTGTGCCTCATACAAAGCTCCAGCTCTCCACAGGTGCCTTTGGAAGATGAGTCTGTGGATGTGGCGGTGTTTTGCCTTTCTCTGATGGGAACCAACATCAGGGACTTCCTAGAGGAGGCAAATCGAGTGCTGAAACCAGGGTAGGAATCCTCGAGACCCAAATGCATGCATGTGTGTGTGTGTGTGTGTGTGTGTGTGTATGTGCGTGCGCATTTCTGTCTTTACATAGGACTCTCTCTTTCTCAGGGGTCTCCTGAAGATTGCTGAGGTCAGCAGCCGCTTTGAGGACGTTCGGACCTTTCTGGGAGCTGTGGCCAAGCTGGGCTTCAAGATCATCTCTAAGGTGAGGACTCCAAGAGGGTCCCATTTTTGTCTCTCACGTGGCCCTTTTCAGGGCAGTGGTGTTCAGGAAGGAGGATATAGGCACAGGAACAGTTTTGTTCCCTGAAAGCACAGCTCCAGGAGAGAGTTCTGGAATGCTTTCTGAATGGACAAGATAGGGGAGAGATGTTTTAAAGAATTTGGAGGATTTGGAGCTCACTGAGTCTTTTCTGCCCTAGGACTTGACCAACAGCCACTTCTTCTTGTTTGATTTTCAAAAGACTGGGCCCCCTCGGGTAGGGCCAAAGGCTCAACTCTCAGGTCTAAAACTTCAGCCGTGTCTCTACAAGCGCAGGTGACCTCTGGACTTCCCTGGAAAGACAAAGCAGGACTGAAACACCAGGCTGAGAATACTGAAGACTGTATCCAGCCTGACTATGAGCCAGGACTTGGTACCACCTTCTGTCTGCCCAAGAACAAAGCGTGATGAAACCCTTGGCTTAACTCTGTTCTGATGGAGCCTTCTTGGTTACAGGAAGCATAAAGTCACCTGGGCTACAAGTAGTTTTTTGTGAGAACATGGGGATACAGGGGCTCATGGATCGCCTTAGCTATCATGAAGTCTATTGATAGATGGTTTGTAATCCAAAAGATCTCTGTATCTCTCAGGAGCCACATGGGCTTGCCATCCTGCATCTCCATTCTGCCCTCCTTAGATCTGTCTGCAGAACAGCTTCCTCTGCTCACCCATGGCTTCTGCTCCTTCAGCCTCAGTCTGCCAGGCCGTCAGGGCTGCAGAGAAGCAGCTGTTGCTTCTTATCTCTGGAGTGACTCATATCCTGGCTCAACTCATCAGTCTGAGCTACCAGGTCAAGACTGGATGTCCCTGTACTGCTCACTTACAGTGGTCTGTCTTTCTTTTCTGTCCTCATTTCCATTCTTGGAACTGATGCCCTAAACCATTCCCAACACATGTTATCTCTTAGAGCTCTTGTGTGTATATGGCTGAGAGCATAGGCTTTGGAACCAGGGAGACCTGGATTCAAATTCTGTTGCTCCATAGAGCTGGGAATCATTTAGTCTCCAATTATCACATTCCACTATAGAAAAATGGTAGTATTTTGTTCTTTTTTTTTTTTTTTTTGGAGAGGTTTTTGCTATAGGGCATGTGTGCTCGCTACAAAAACAGAGAGAGACAGACAGAAAGTGAGAAATTGTCCCCCAGGGGGGGATGGCCACGCTGCAATCCCTTCTCCTCCATTCTCCTCTTGGGATCTTGGGCATGCACGCACACGCGCCCAGCGTGAGTTTAAGCTACCAGGTCCAGGACTTGAACCACAGTGAGCTACATGGGAGTCTAGAGACATAGCCATTATGTTAACTGCTGGTCCCCCCTCCCCCTTTTTTTTAAAGGATTATTTTACTGAATGTTATTTATTCATTCATTCATTTTATTTATTTTAATTTGACCAGAGAAGGACACAGAGAGAGAAATAAAGAAGGCAAGCTGCCAGGTCTAGGACTTGAACTGTGATTGACCATGTAGGAGTCCACTGCCCTTAACCACCACGCCACCTGCTGGCCACATTAGTATTTCTTTCTTACATGTCACTGTGTGGGTTAACTTAGGAAAGCTATATCCAAGGCTAGGAACATAGGTCGTGCTAAGTAAGCTGAAGACCTTTCCCAAACCAGATTGGAGAAGGGGTAAAGAATGGGTTTGTTGATTGCAATAGACTTTGGGAGAGCTCTAGAACAGAATTTTCAACAGGCTCATTTCATAGGCTGGTCAGAGATTCTTTGTGGATTCTGGGAGTTCTTGGAGATGGGCAGTGAGGGAGTTTGGGTCTCTGTTCATAAACAATAGTTGATGCCATTTGAGGGTGAGGGATTGGGCAGCTCATTGGCAGAAGGTCTGCCCATTATTTCTGCTGTGCAGTGGGCCCTGGTTAGCATGCCCTGAGAAAGCTATAGACGAGATCTAGTACTGGGGTGAAACAAGCTGGGATGAGAGTTCCTGGGCCTCCTGCAGAAAGTTGTTGTGGACTCATGTATAGAGATAGAGCCTTTCTATCTGTTCCAAGAACAAATCTTGACAGGGCACGCAGTGAGGACATAGGTCCCAGGGTTCTAAGCCAGTTGGGTGCTCCCAGTAAGTGATGGGGGTCTTAAAGCAGGTTGTAGCCTAGAGGGCATATCTGGAGGCTGAACTGTGAAGCATTCAGCAGACACCAGAGTTCCTTGGCACAGTGCTGTTCTCTGCTAGATCCTCGACTGACTGGCAAAGTTTACTTATCTTTTCAAGCAGCTTAGGTATTCCTACTCCCTTCTCTTCATCTGGGCTCTCAAAGTGTGACATGAAGAGTGCTACTTCAGCATTCAATGTGGTTGTGGTTGCTTTGTGCTCTTGGCTGCATCTTTGTATTCTCAAACCTTATCCCTTGAGATACAGCCAATGCACTTGTTTACCTAGGGAAGGATAAGGAATGACTGGGTCCAGTTGAATGGCCTTGATGAAAGCAGAGGCGTTGCAGAAACCAAGTTTCAGAGCACAGAATGAGGGTAATATGGCCTTCTGATGGCGGAAAAGGTAGGCAAATGGGAGAACTCCATTAGTTATGACTGGTGAGGATAGGGAGAAGGGAATCTGTAGTCAGTCCCTTTCTGGTTTGAGCAACTGGGTGGGCTCGTGATGCTAGTTAAAGTGTTGGGTCTTAGGTGCTCGTTAGATGTTCATTTGGAAGTGGGACATGTGTGAGATTCGGACTAAGGATTTGGCACTCAGCAGCTGTTAGATGGTAATTAAAGTCATGATGAAGAGCATTAATGGATAGGTAAAGGAAAATGAACCAGTAAAGGTGGCCGGATGGAAAGGTTGAGCCAGAGAAAGATGAATAAAATTAAGAGAGTGGTGTGGTTTGTTTTGTTTTGTCTTTAAGTCCTGGAGGAATGGGCCAGTTGGCTGTCAAACACTGTCAAGAAGCTTCTTTTGATGAATGAGAAATCACATTGCAGTTGGGTAAAGACTGCTGAGTAATGTTGAAGGCCTGTTTGAATTTGTAGTTTTATTATTGTTGAATATATTGTTATATCAGTCAAGCCTATAGTGTGGTTATATCTACTTGCTCAGGAATTTAAATGTAACTGAAGAAGAGGCGAATATTTTCTTCTTTAAGAGTGTATGCACTCATCAAAGACAGATATCTGTCACCCAGGGAGTGGCCACACTGCAGTCCCTTCCCCATTCTCTTGGGATTTGGGGCACACACATACACACACACACTCATGGGTCTGCATAATTCTCAAGCCCCCCACTCCAGGACTTGAACTGCACATTTGGCTATGTGGGATCTAGCACTTTAATCTCTGCTGGCCCCAAGATGTGAGTATTAATGGACCGTCAAGAATTCACTTTATATAGCTAAAACAAAAGGACAGTGAACGAAGGAGTTTCAGGCCATTAGCAAGTAGGTGATGGCGATGCTGGACTGTGGAATTTGTGGGACAGGTAGAGTGCAGATAGGAATACACCCTTGTACTGGGAGTAATTCCCAAGTGGCCCAGTAGGATGGGAGGCTGTGGTCAGAGACTGGAATGCTTGAATTACTAATTCTGGAAGCAGAGCAACTCCAGTGATAGCACAGTCTAGGATGTGGCCACAGGGGTAAGTGCCTGGAAGTTGGTTAATGGACTGAGGGTTCAGATGTTGTGAAAAGGGGCTGTCTGCATGAACTTTGAAGTTCTTCGGGATGATGGCAGAAGCTGGCAGCGGAACAAATGCCAGCTCTCAAGGGAGAGGATCCAGAAGATCTGCAGAGGGGTGGGGCGAGGTGGCGAGAAATTTAAAACATGACTTACAGAGCCTGCTGGAGAACTTCAATGTTGGAGGTGCTGTGAGGCTGGTAAGGGGTTGTCCTGGTAGTCCTCCAGCCAGTCAGGATTCACCAGGGTGTACTGGGAGACCTGACATTGTGGCAGCTCCATGAAACAACTTCCTGGGATACCTGGTTAAGGTGGACCACAAGTCCAGGGAATGAGTTGGAGAAGCAGAGTATTTCACAGACATAATCCCTTTTAGAGTTCCACATTCGTGTTCCTTCCCAAATGTTATTTGCATTCCTTAATTTTGATTAATCTTCTCTGTTTCCTTACTGTGCTCAGCAGGACAGCTGAGATTTGCCTATTTTGACTCCAGCCACCTGAGTAAACATTTTTCTGGATCTGACTCAGGCCCCAGGCTCTCCCTTGGGACCTCTGCTTCACTCCTACTAGTGACTCCAATTAGACAGCCTGATCTGGATCCTCTCTGCTCCATCAATTTCAGGACAAGCTCTTGTTCAAACCTGTGCCTAGGCTTCAGTGTTGAGATCCTAGACTGGAGACGGAACAATGTCTGTTTCCTTAAGAAGTAACAGTATGTCCAGGGTTTAGGGAATAGCGAGACCAGTGTTGCTAGATGAAGGAGGGGCGAGAACAGTAGGAGGTAAGCTGGACTGGGAAGTGGTTGCTCTCTAACTTCAGGGTATATTAGAGACACCTGAAGTTTTCTTCTAATGCAGATTTCCAAGCCCTCTTCCAGAACTTTTGATACAATAAATGAGTATAGGGTCCCGGGAGTTCTTTTCTGTTGCTTTGAATTTTTTAGTGAGCGAGGAAGTAAATTTATCATTGAACAGTGAGGACGAGGGTGAGGAGGTTGGGATTTTTGAGGTGAGGAGAATAGGGGAGAGAAAGAAAGTCAGTAAATCAGGGAAGCATGGTATTGCTGTCAGCATTAATGGCTCACTTGAGGTTCGAGATCATAAAGAGGATGTGAAGGGGTGGGATGGGGTGGGTAGGAGGGTGGGTAGTATTGTTTTGCAGAGAGCTCGTCATTCTGAGACTTTGTTCAGTGAGCTTTAAGAACCCAACCCCCTCTTTGTATGTCTGTGGGGGGGAGTACCCTATTACCTCAAATGTAGTTGAGAAGTCTACAGGGATCATTCAAGAAGTAAGAGGTATGTATTCCTACAGTTGAGGAATGGTGAGCTTGGAATCCATCTCCTGCCCTGAAAACGTTGAGGGCAAACAAAAGGTCTCTGTTCTGGTGGGGGGCCCAGGGGAATATTGCTGCTTTAGTATTGGTCCACGTTTTCAGAATTGGTCCTGGCAAGTGTGATGGGCAGCTCCACTGCACACCATACAGCAGAGGGAGATACGGGCCATCCAGTAGGATCATCTAAAGAAGCTGGAAGTCCTCAGCACAGACAAGCTAGGAGTGGGCGATGTTGGTTGACAAAGGAGTGACGGGAGCCACCCACAATAGAGCTGCATCTTCCAGGTCAAGGGAGGGGACAGCAAGGATTCCCCCTTTTTAAAGTGTCTGCTGACCCCATAGGGTACAGAGTGCTGGTCTAGTCAAATTGTTTTATCTACCTAACTCTCTTCAGCTCTTGGATCCAGAGCCAACAGTGGCAACTGCATGGCGAGGAGAGTTAAGAGTTATCTGAGC